AAGAACACTCCATTATGTAACATTAATAATCCAAGCTTTAACATCAGCCTAAATCACGTCTCAAACAGAACTCAAGGCCTATGGGTGACGTCTGCCTCGACCCCCTCAAAAAAAAATCTTAATTTAATATGAAAATAGCCTTAATATCAACTTTAAATTTATGATTCAGTGCAACAGAATAAACTAATTTAAAAGGTTAAAGATAATAATACTCATTGGACCCCTGAACTGTTGGGTTTAAGTAACTGTGGCCCCCTGAGCATTGACCATAAACTACATCTCCCATAATGCACGGCGAACGCGCTTCCTTGTTGGAAACATAAAGTACCACAAAGTAATACTTGAGTAAAAGTTCAAGTATCTTGGTAAAAGTTAAAGTCTCCTTTAAGAATATTACTTGAGTGAAAGCCTTAAAGTATCTGATATTTTTTGTACTTAAGTATTAAAAGTAAAAGTATTGATTTAAAATGAGCTGTTAGGTTATCTGTAATGGCATTTATTAGGAGGTGACCTCCCCAAAAACTGCAGAAATGACTATATTGTATTAAAATAATTAATTTATGTTACAGCTGTTTCAGTTTATAAACATATATCAAGGCTGCACAAACGTTTTCCCCAAAATGAAAATATATCCGAGGGCTGTGGCCAAATGCAATAAAATAATTCATGAAATACAAATACTTCTTAAGTACAGTCCTTTTATATTAATGATTATGTCCTGCTGGAGTGTGACATGATTTGTTTGTGTACAAACTAATACAGTATCAGAATTTTATATATTTATACTTCTCATTCAACCACAATTAAATTCACTCTATCTAGGAGGCACAATTTATATGGATAGTATTTATTTTTTAAAATAACAAGCAAAAATGAAATAAAAGTAACAATTTTCTACTTCTTGCCTTTTTTTAAAAAATGTAAGGAGTAGAAAGTACAGATAACTGTGTGAAAATGTAAGAAGCAGAAGTAAAAAGTAGGCTGAAAAATAATTACTCAAGTAAAGTACAGATACCCAAAAATTCTACTTAAGTACAGTAACAAAGCATATTGTATTTAGTTACTTTACGACTCTGGAAAGTGGGAGATACAGGTGCACAGAATTTAAGTTAACAACTCAACAGTGAGTAAACCTCTCATATTTTTACTTTTAATAGTATTTCTGCATTTATTTTACATTTAGTCAGTTGTACACGCAAAAAAAATCAATGTTTATAAGAAGGCAAGTAAAAATGTTGTTTCTGTGCAGGAAATACCAGGTAGAGCTACTGTTTTTAGCACTGAGACGAGGAATACGAGTTTTGTGTTTAGTGGGAGTTAAGCATGAAAAGACTCTTGCCTCTTCCTCCGTACATGCTGCTCTGTGACAGATGTCCCGACTGATGAGGTACTAACTACAGATAACTATGGCAGCACGACATTTAACAGTGACTTGATTAGCCCTACAGTATGCCATTAGTCCACAGCTTGTTTAAGCCTTTTATTAAAGGGAAACAATCTTGTCCGACACCTGCTGCTCATGTGAGAGGAGTGCTGGGGGTTGGGGGGTATTTATTGTTGGCCTGTCTCAGCATGTTGTAATCCCTGGCTGGAACACGGCTGTATTTACCAGTGTGACCTATTCTTGGTCATCATAAGTGTGTGTGTGTGTGTGTGTGTGCGTGCGTGCGTGCGTGCGTGCGTGTGTGTGTGTGTGGATGGGGATTGGAAGCCCCATTTCTTTCTCTCTCACACTCTTTTTTTTTTGTCACCCATTGTCATGCAGAACAAATTGCGTATCGCTGACACCAGTGATTTCTTGTCTGCACTGCTGGGAAGTGTGTGCAGAAGCAAAACAGTTGGGTCTTACTGACGGGGAGTTTGGACATTTTTGTGATTAAGAAGTAATGGCCCAGGAGGTGACAAGCAAACAGGGAACTTCATCGGTCACAGAGAATTAAAAAAAAAAAGTTGAATATCTTTGGGCCAAATGTGCACTTTTGGTTGGACAGAATGTTTTTTTTTTAATTATTTCACAAATTACACTGCCAAAGGTGATAGTTAGGACCCCTGTCTGTAGACTGCATCACTGAGGAATGACAGAAGTCTCTCATCATCTCACCACTTTCACCATGATCCCCGTGAATTCCAATGTCTGCTTCCAGGCCTGACACTAATTGGGGCCTGAGTTCCTCTAGTATTGTTGCATGCCTGTGGTTTGGTTTAAGCGCTTAGTTATATTAGGATGTGAGTTTTTAGCATCTATAATAGAGCGCATCGTTGGTTCAGATGATTTGAGATGTGTGCAGACTGGATCTGTGGCTTACAGCTGTCACACACAGCATCATCACAGGGAAAGAAAAAAAATGAAAATGAAATAAATGATGATTAGAAGGTGATGTATTTAAGGAAATATAAGTTAGTTCAGCACTTCCACACAGAATTCTGCAAACAAGAAATAAATGAAGTCACAGGGACACCTACTGGCCAAACTTGATGCGAGGAAGATAAAGTTATACTGATTAGAACCAGCAGTTCATCAAAAACAAATGGATATAGAACCAAGCCCATAGTGCTCTTTATGTATCATAATTTCTTTCATAATAAACCTTTTCTTTTAAAAGATTCAGCAAACTTTGTAGAGTCCATCGATATTCAGGTTTAGGTAATAAGTCAGCTTTTTTTTTTACTACCTTTCTAAACCCAGGTGCACATAAACGTTACTGCTATAAAACACAGTAGTGAGGCAGGAAATGGGCCAACATGGAGAAATAACGTTAAATAAATTATAAGTCACAGAAAATGGTGGATTCAGAAGATTTTTTATAGACTTTTTTAATTGGCACAAACTCAGCTGACCTGCAGTCTGCTCCAAGGTATGTTGGAAGTGAGCCAACTGTGGCCTATTAGCAGATCCCAAACTTCCTGTCAGGCACTGATCTTAGCTCAGTGGTGGTCAGCTCTGGAGGTCTGATCATCAACATTATCAGTGTGCATTGCCAATGCAATGCACACTATTGTGATTCATTTACCATCCAATTCATCTCCACTTTGGCACGTTTCTCCTCCTGCATACTTTGTCCTAGAGCTGTCTTTGTAATTTATATCTGTAAAGCTCCTGTGCCAAATGATGGCTATGTATTTTGGTGCCTGTACAGCTTATACTTTTTGAAATATTAATGTTTAAAATCATATAATGCCAGTCAATGGAGCCTTGTACTGGTCCAATACTGCCCCTTGCTTTATATACTCAGTACTGAACCATAGTTTTAATAATATTTAAACTCAGTAGTTCAGTGATTACAGTACTAATATGATTGTATTTTGATGTTTTACTAAAATATTGTCCTAATATTACTCTATTGTTGTAATATTATGCAGTTCTGTGTCAACAATTGCATTGGCAATGTGGCCTCTTTCTGCACACATACAAACCAACCCCTGCAACCACCTTCTGCCACAGTTCCATTGGTCTAATGGTCTATGTCATGGACTTTCATGTAGGAGATCAGGGTTCAAAACCCAGCTAATGCAACTTTAACAACAAATCTCTTCCAAATTCATATTGTCACTCAATTACCTTAATTACAAACACCTGTTGACGTGACAGGCACAAGCTGGCATAGAAAACATATTTGAACTTGGTCAAAGTTCATTCTGCAAGTCCAATGCTGCAGGCAAAGCCATGCTACATGGCAATGCACACTTGTTTTTACATCGTAAAAACCCATGTCTAGTTTCTTTTTTGTTTTGCTTTGTTTCTTGTTTGTTTTTATTGATTTTGAGTTGGGTGGTGCAGTGGTTAGAGCTGTTGCCTCTCAGCAAGAAAGTTGCAGGTTCACCTCCCTTACTGTGTGGAGATTACATGTTCTCCCTGTGCACATGTGGGTTTTCTCTTGGCACTCCAAGTTGCTTGTTTTTAGATTTACAGATCTGAATTTGGACAAGTTTATCATTAAATAAAGTTTTGTTTTAAAGCAAAGACTTGTGAAGCTTTTATTGTTTGTAAAAAAAGAATTTTAATAAACTATATGCCTTTTTCGGCCATTTGGAGACCCTGCAGACCCAAAATGATCATAATACCTCTGTTGTTAAAACGGGAGCAGCTGTGGTGTTGCTTCTGATCCAGCAGAAAAAATAGAATGCTCATTCATCAGAGTCTGGTTTGGATTGGCGGCCAAGGATGGTCAAACTCAGGACTGCAGAAAATTTCATGTACTGAGTCTGTCAGGACCTTTGCAAACGCAAAGTTATGAAACCTGACAGATTCATCATTCATCATCCATGAAGACAAACTGTTCCAAATTGTCCCCACTGGTGGGCACTGCAGAGCTCCTGTTAGAGCACCAAACCCAGTGAACTCATTCCACAGGCCATCATGCTTTCATTTATTTCCATTGTTTAAATTGTTTTATTTGAAACATGCAGGATCAGGATTAAAACGCCGACAAGTGAAGAGAAAGGGGAAAACTGCTTTCATATACATATACATATAATTTTTTTTTCTCAGAAAAAAAATTCAAATGAGCTTAAAGTGTCCATTGGCACTGATTTGGACACTGGTGGATAAAATTCAGCCCTTTTATTTTGCTACAAATGTCACATTATAGACAAAAATCCCAGACTGTTTTTTTTTTTCAACAGGAAAAATGCTTTTCTAGAAACTACTTGTCAAATTATCTTCCTTTCTTTTTGTTGTTGCTGTGTTTTTTTTTTTGTTTGTTTGTTTAGTTTTTGCCTGCCAATCAAATATTCACAAATGTCGGTATGAAATGATCAGACTGTAGTTTTACTACAGATGCCTAAAAGATGGTTTCCTGGCAGGGCCTGCATCTCTTCTCCCTAAAGATATGAATGACATTGCGTTCAGCCACCCAGCACGTCATCTACCGAGCCTCAGCCAATCAGAATTCAGTGCGTTTAAAAGAAAAGCTATTATATCCAATCAGAGCGCTACGATGGACATATAGCCCCGCCTTTACCTCCCTTCTATCCAATCAGAACCGAGAGTAGTTACTAATTCATTATGTTGCAAAGGGGAGTGACGCAGTTATTGTAGATCCGTACTCCATGCCTTTTTTTCTTATGACCTAAAATTTTGTTTTCCATTTTTATCATTAAATTCATATTTCCTCGCAAAAAAAGAAAAAGAAAAACTCGAAGAGGAGGTATTCCCGCCGTCATCCGGAGGCTGTATGCCGGAGCACTGCGGCCGCTGAATTCGGATGCCATTCCGGTTGGAGGAGGTTGCGGTGGACCCCGAGGACTGGATGTGAGAACCAGAACCGAAACATGCCGCAGCCCAAGTCACGAAAAATCGCCATCCTCGGGTACAGATCCGTAGGTGAGTTCCCAGAACGTTGAACGACGCGACGTGGTGTCGGGGGGGGGGGGGGGGGGACGACTGCCCGTCGACGTCACGGGTGTTTGTGGGATGCTGAAGTGTGGGTTTCAGCGGCCTCTGGATTCAGTAAATCCATCACGAGAGCGACGCTTCAATTATGATAATCTGTCACGCGACAAATCAGAGCAGAAGAATGAGCGCCACCAGGTGAAAGATGCGGCTTTGTGAGGGTCGGCAGGCCTCGGTTATACGGTTTACGACAGATGTAGGCCTATATATATATA